CAGTACTGGCCGGTGCTGGTGCCCCGCGGCATCCGCCTCTACACCTACGAGCAGATCCCCGTCTTCCTGAAGGACAACCCCTACATCACCGACGGCTACCGGGCCTACCTGCCCTCCCGCCTCTGCCTCAAGAGGTGAGGGCACCCCCGCCGCCCCGGGCCCGGCGGGCCGAGCCCCGCCCCCCACACACACCCCCACACACCTCTTCCCCCGTTGTGTCTCCTCGCAGCCTCTTCATCCTCTCCAACGAGACCGTCAACATCTGGAGCCACCTGCTCGGCTTTGTCCTCTTCTTCACGCTGGGCATCTACGACCTGACGGCCGTCCTGCCGGCCGCCGGCGCCTCCCGAGAGGACTTCGTCATCTGCTCCGTCTGCCTCTTCTGCTTCCAGGTAGGGGCCGGGGAGCTTCCTCAGGGGAGCACCTTCCTTGAGAAGGGGAGAGCGTTAAAGGCCGCTGCCAGTGCTTGCAGACACTGCAGAGCAAGCGGGACTCGGGTCAGAGCTGGGAAAGCCTCTTTTACATTGTGTTGCTTTTAAAGGTAACTGACCAAGCTCGGTGCTTGAGTTGATTTAGACCTGTTCAATATATGGAATAAACCAGAGAGGACTGAGCATAGCTGGCGTAGGAGAGGGCCTGTGAAAAACGACTGAGTGCTCCCAGGCCACGTTTCACAGCTTCAGCTGGGCGCTGGGGGTCAGTCGGGTCTGATGTGCCTCCCAGCCAGCATCGGTTGCTGCTGCAAGGGGTCACCCACCGGGACATGAAAATCAGCCATGGCCTGACGCTGCTCGGGAAGGGCAGCAGGGCTTGCTTTCAAACGCCTTGCCTTCTGTGTCAGATGAAATCTGTTGTCAGCAGCAGACTTGGAGCATGTCAGCATTTGACCGCTGAAGCTCCTGTAAAGTACGCTGTCCCTGAAAAAGCGTGAGGAGCTAAAGGCACTGTATACCTTCCCTGAAGAGTCCAGGATGCCTTTGCATAGCTAGAAGCAGGGAAAGCTCCCTTGCTGGCTGGGAAAGCACTGCTGTTGTGCTTTTCCCTACTGCTGTCGAGGGTTGCAGAGAAACACAAAAAACATTTCTCAGGGAAAAATTTCGATGCCAGGCTAGAAGGAAATAAGCAGCCCGTGCGTAGGAGTTTAATTTCTTGTGTGTTCCCTCACTGAAGTAACTTGGGGGTCGGGCAGTCAGGGCGGATTCAGGCTTTGGTTTCTGGTTGTGGTAGTTTGGCCAAGCAGAAGTCATTGACCCGCTGTGCTCGTGCGGACGTGGCCCTGCTCCCTGGCGTGCTGGCTTTTCGCTTGGCCTCGCAGTCTAGGCCTCAACAGCCCCATTTTTGCAGCTGTGGAGCTTGGGGTTATCAAGTCTCGCAAAGTTTTCCGTTCCTTCTTCAGTCTGCCAGAGAAGCTCACGCTAGTTTCTGTTGATTACTGGCAGGCATCATAACTGCCTACACCAAATTGCACTGCAAAACGCGTAACGGGTCGATCGCGCGCTCTAAGCTTCGGCGTTTAAGCTTGCTATGCTGCCTGTTAATTTTGAAGAGATTAATGCATCCTTGTTTGAACATTTGTATAGGTCTGTATGCTTTGCTCAGTAGGATATCATCTTTTCTGTTGTCACCGCTCAGAGAAGACCAGCCGACGATGGATGGCATTAGATTACGCGGGGATTTCCATTGGCATCCTGGGCTGCTATGTGTCAGGCGTGTTTTATGCATTTTACTGTAATAACGTAAGTTTGAAGCACTTGTTCACGTAAGGTTTAGCTCCCGCGGTCTCGTTGTTGTAGTTTCCATGCCGTGGGAAGGGGTTTCATTGCAGAGTGACCGACCAGAACATTAGCCAGGAGACGGAGATGGAAACTGAACCAAGTTCCTTCTGACACAAGCAGCACTTTGCTTGCTGAAGTGAGAGGCAAATTGAGGTTTTCCTTTCGAGCTGTCAATCACACAAGCCTCAAGAAAATTTTTAAATTTCTATGAAGGCTGGGTAAACTTTACAGGTCCTACCTTTGTCAAATGCATGAGGCTGATGATGGCATGTCTCCCCATCACAAGTAATTCAAACGTTTCCCTCCAGGTAGCTTAACGTGAGGCAGAAACGAGCTTATTTTCTCTTCGTTTAATAAAGGACGAGTAAAATGAGTTCCCTTGAAAGGCCTAGATGACATCCATGTCTGCAACGGATGCAGCGATCGGGTAGTCGAACAAGTCTGCTTAGGCAGAGGTGTATTAAAAATGTTTTGGTGAAGGCGGTGCTTGGAATAAACGATGTTCTACCCGGTGTACCTGAGCAGTAGAGTCCCTTCCCCCCGCTGTCACTTGATAAACACAAGCCCATTCATTCAAACCCCATCATTTGTGCTCGCAGCAGTGACAGTGATTGACAGATCATTACATTTAGTAACGCAGACTTTCTACCCAGAGTTTACTTTTACGCGTGATGAGAACACCCGCAAACTTGCTTTTGTTTCTCTTTTTTCTCAGTACTGGCGTCAGGTATATTTAATCACTGTGCTGGCTATGATCTTGGCAGTGTTTTTTGCTCAGATTCATCCCAGTTACCTCACACAACAGTGGCACAGACTGCGCTCCATCATCTTTTGCTCGGTGTCTGGATACGGCATTATTCCCACCGTCCACTGGGTTTGGCTCAACGGCGGCATTGGTGCATCTATTGTACAGGTAAAAGAAAAAAGAAGGAAATAAGAGGCCCTTTTGCTTTTCACTTGACGTCTTCCTTCCGTCCTCTCACCCTTCGGGAAATGAGGGGGAAGCAGCGGCAATGAAAATTTCGTGACGCACAGAATGCTGTCGGACGATACGATCCGTATGCAAACGCTTAGAAACTTATTGAGAAGCAGTAAATGGGTTGAGTAGATGAAATCTGCTTTACTGATTTACAGCTGCACCGTGAGAATGAAAACCGGGTACAAATGTGAGGGAGCGTTCCTGCCTGAGGGAGGGAGCAGCCTGCGTAGGCGGGCCGCACCCTCGCTCGCCCCCGGGCGAGGGACAGGAGCGAAGCGCTGACTCAGCTGCGTGGCGGGAAGCAGTCTGTCAGGCTGCGCGAGCGCTCCGGGCTGTCTGCCTCCGCCGCTCGAGAGCAGAATGGGGAAACCAGGAGGCACTGATGGGATGATTATTTGCTTCCCCTTCTGTTCCCTGGGTTGGCAGGAAAAATCAGTATTTGCCTACTCAGCCCTCTGTCTCTTACGCAACCCTCATTGAACATCGCTGGGAGGTTACTGAACTATTTTCCCGTAATTGTTTTACCGCTTAGAGTTATGCTCTGAAAAACAGCAGCACAGTACAGCTAAAGACAGTAAAGTATGCCCCTGTATGAAAACCCCAGAAAGCGTTGCAGTTACCCAGGGAGAGCTAATTGTGCTGAAGAAAACGTTTCTTTTTCACAGTAAGCCGTAACTGTGCGCGTTCCTAGACTGGCCCTGCTGGAGGACTGTCACCTGGGGTGATGGTTTAGCCCGGTCCAGAGCTGCTGTTGAATGTGGAAGAGCAACGTTTATGAATATAGGTAGTCTTTAGACAGGGCGCTTAAGACTGGCCTTCTAAAAATGGGATAAACGGTAATTACCCCACCACCACCACGTCTTCCCCCATTTAGTTTCTTCTGGCATGGCAGAACGGTAGGTATGGTAGGCATTTTGTTTCCGTATTGCAGAAAAACGCTGCGCTTCTGGTAACAAAACTTTCTGTTAAGGAAAACAAAAAGCAACTCGCGAATGGGTTGCGCGATGATTTACCATCCGGTATGTAGTACTCCTGTGGCCTCCGGTTCTAGCGGCCGCAATCCCAACCGGTAAATGAGATATTGCACTGAAATCATCCTTCTCGCTTATCCCGGCCATTCCGCGTAAGATCAGGGTATTGGAAGACGTCCTTTTACTGACAAATTCCACGTCTGCTGCAGGCTGCACAGAAACACTAAGCAGCTCGTGTATTGAAGCAGAGAGGGCATGATAAAACAAGTTGCTTCCCACTCGGATTTTCCCAAACTTTGACCGTTGCTTCCCTGTTGGATTTTGTCCATAGATAACATAAGCAGTGAAGTAAGATTCAGCTTTGTCATGCCTTTTTTTTTTTTTTATCTTTAAGGACGTTTTTTTGTTCCTATTTTTACCTTCTAAGAGAATAGGAGAGCTTCCTTTTCTTTTGCAGGAGTTTGCTCCGCGTGTAGTTGTCATGTACTTCATCGCTGCTGTAGCTTTTCTCTTCTATATTTCCAAAGTTCCAGAAAGATACTTCCCAGGTAGGAAATCCTCTTCTGGGTGTGTTTTCTGCAGTTAAGCTTCTTGCAGTGTCGCAGTCTTTGCTGCGAGTCCTGACCTTCCTGTGAGAGAACAGGTTGACCATGTTCTCTGTGAAGTATTCCCATATGGAGTAAAGCGTTGCGTGTATTTGCATCCAAAGAAGGCAGACGACTTCTGATGAAGTTCGTTAAAGAACCTGCACTGCCTCCCCACAAGTGGAGCGCATAGTTGAGCTTCAGAGGAGACGGATTGCGAATTGCCTTGCGTGAGTTAGTTACTGCTGCATTTAACAACTTAACCACTTGCCCTTTTTCTTCCCCACAGGACAGCTGAACTACCTCGGCTCGAGTCACCAAGTATGGCATATCCTTGCAGTGGTGATGCTGTACTGGTGGCATCAGTCCACGGTGTACATCATGCAATATCGACACAGCAAGCCCTGTCCCGAGTATAGCGCAGGCGTGTGAGGGAAGGTACAGCAGCTCTCGTACTCGTGGGAATAGGATATTCTAACAAGTATTGGGCTAAATAATCCTGGCTTTAACTTGGCACAAGTTTCAGTCAACCTCCCTAATTAGCTTCCCCAAAGAAAATGCTGATTGGTGTAATACTTGCTTGTAAATGAAAAGGTAGCCATCTTGATGCCAGGCCCTGTGCTCGCCTGTACTGCCGGATTGCAGGAGGCTCCACGAGACGGCAGCGCCCTTGAGCAGCGTTTGAGAACAGGCTGGACGCAGCTCTGCCAGATCCCTTTCAGCTCTGTTTCACAATTTTAATCGCCTCAAGCAGTCCTTACGATTTCTTCCTAAGTACTCTTTTCCTCGGGCTTTTGTCAGGTTTTCAGCCTACTAAGCGTTGATCGGGGTTTTTTGGAAATCATGCAAGAGTTGATAATTCTATACGCGTACTAAGTGACTAAACTTGTTTCCCTGCTCTATTTCAGAGGCACGGCGATGAAATTTCTGACTTGGAGGGTCTGGGCCTTCCCTAACGAGCTGAGCTGTCGAGTTAAGCACTGAGGCAGTTCCTTTTCTGACTTCTGGACTGTTACCCGCTTGCTGGGACGCTATATTATTAGGAGTTTTGAAAAAAAAACCAAGAGCGGTGCCCAGGATCTGACCTTCATTTCCTGATCTGCAATCAAGTACAAAACAGGTCTTCCTAGAGTGGATCAACGGGAAGGTGGGCTTTAAAACTCAGCATTCGGATCGCAGCAGTATTTTTTTTGCTTGGCAAACACGAACAACAGAAATCCTTGCCCTTGTTGAGCTAACAGGCCCACGTACCAGGTTTTCAGGTTGTGTTCAAGCGCATAGTGAAGAAACTGCTCCTGACAGCCTGCTTGTAAAACCATGGTAACTGCGGGACCCGGTCTTGGATGTAAATCGCAGCGGTACGGCGTGTTGCATCCCGCAGCGTCTTCGTCTGAATGACGTGCTTACGCTTCAGCATCGGTACGGTAACGTACAAAATGAAAATCGGTGGACTCTTTTTCTGGACAAGCTCTTTTCCTTTTTCTGGAAGATGAGATCACAGGTCATCCGCCATAGCTACGTCTTCATTTCAGATCTTAAAAATTGCCTCCCCCAATACGGCTGGTGCCATCACTTCAAGAAATTTCTCTAGATTCCTTTGGTAATTTGGAATTAGCATTTTAAAATATATCAGGAGTAGCACTAAGCCTGCGTCTTCATGTTTGTTACTACGTTGCAGTCGCTAAGAATTTTTTTAAGTTTCACTTGTTTAACAGGATGAAGTAACACGCCCTGAGTCTGACCCTGCTGGGGATTCAAATCACTGAACTTTGGCCTTTTGAGGTGTGATGTATTATACTGTACGTGCAGACTTTGGTACTGAAAATGACTTCTCGCCCTACGCTTTCCACAGCAAAAAGGGTGCCTTGGGTTTTAGAATCTGTCGTGAAACCACCTCTCATCAACGCAACGCTGGGGAGACATGAAACACCCAGGTTATTGGGTAGCGGTAGCTCAGCGTGATTAAGCTCAGTGGCTGCCAGTTTTTCAAATAGGACTGGAATAGTTTGGATTTCGGGGTTAGAACCAACATTCTTAGGCGGCTGCTGTATAGCAGCTGTGCCTGTGTTTACAGTTCAGTTGCGCAGCGCTAGCAAATGCTGCTGCTTCGCACCATCAAACGTTAGTCAGCATTAGCCATTTGGGGGTTACTCTGCTTGCCTCAAGATGCTGTTAGGACTTAATCCTAAGCGGTTCAAGTTTGGGACCAGAGCTGTTGCAAGACGTGACCGCAGCGGCACGGCTAGCGTTAGAAAGCGGCAGATAGCCTAACTCTTTCTGCTTTGGCTACAGGCAGCACCCTTCTGTTCTGGGGTTAGAAACTGGCCTCGCTGACCTCGCTACAACTCCCCGTGTTACCCGCGGCGCGGCCTTCGATAGCGTCCCAGCATGCTCGCTCATCTTTTGCCATTGTCTGACCACAGCCAGCTTCGTACACGCCGAGAGGGGCCTTGTAAGCTCTCAAACCAGTTGCCTCACAGCTGAGGTGCAGGGAGAGACGGCGCTGCCTCGCAGCGGGCTAGGAAAGCCTTAGGCAACCCTGCTCAAAGCTGCGTAACACGCGAGAAGCTCTTAAAGACCTCTCGGCCTTGTCAGTGCTACGCTCTTGCCTCTTTACTCTCCGGAGGGTTGTCCCTGGATGGGATGGAGCTTACTCGGAGGCGGGGAGAGGCTGGCTTTTTGCAGCACCCTCCTCGGGGCGGGCAGGCTGCTGGCAGGTCCCCCCAACGCTGCCTCCTCCCTCGGGGGTGAAACAAGCCCAGCTCCCTCAGCCTTCCTGGTCAGGGGCGTGCCAAGGAGACGCGGAACAGCGATGGAAACGTGCGGTCAGGCAGCTGAATGCTCATCGGCGATGGAGAAAGCAGGGTACTCGCTTCTCTGCTGGGATGCTGGAGAGCAACGCTAGCTGTCCGTTACGTTCAGTGGGTGGGCTGGGTTTTTTTGTCAACTCCAGAAACAAGTACTGGCAGGAACGGACTTGGCATTTACGATTCAACCCCCAGACCTTTGAGCCTTTCAGTGTAAACACTGATTTTTTATTTTTTTTTCTTAAACTTGACAGCCAAGCAAGTTTCAAGTGCACTAATGACTACTATGGGAGCCTGAGAAGGACCTTGCAAGTATAAAAGCTTGTTTCCAGTGTTATATGAACAATATTTGAAGAATAGGTGTTTGTGTATTGAAAGCATACTGACTTACTAGTTTGCTAATGTATTTTTTTTATGTAAACTCTAACTACTGTAGCAGTTTTAACTGGATAAGGAAACTGAGTGCAAAGCTGTACATTGTCACTGCCCTGACAAAACTGATCCAGCTGCATGAGGGTCTGTCTGTACATACTGAACCTGTAAATAAACTTCACTTTGTTGGATGTTTACATGCAGTAACACCCTTCTTGCATCTCACCTACTACAATGACAGATGGGAATTTCTCAACCCTGCAACCTCTGTCAGCGCCCCAGGTTGTACACAGAGAGGGAGCCTGTCTCTTGAATCGTCCAGGCGGAGCGCGGACAGGCAGGGCAGGTGGGCGACCCGCGCTGTTCCCGGGTTGTGTGTAGTACACGCTACTCGCGGTACGTAGTGCGCTACAGGCGTTTTCAGAGGAGCATCTCTAGATGAATTTGCGGATGAACTCAGCTTTGCAACCTGCCGCCTTTAGAGCCAGATAGTTTCCAAGCAGGGCCTCATTCATCTCTTACGAGCTGCGGCCATTTCGCTTGCTGTGTCCTTGCCAAAAGGAGGAAAGGTTCATCCTGACGCAGCTTAGACTGAAACAACAGGGCTCTGTCCCACCTCAACTTCCTAAACGTGCTTGTGCCCTAACAGTAGTTCGACCGCATGCAAAAACCAACAATGAGAAACCAAGTGCTAGCAGTCACGCTGCAAAAACAAAACAAAAAACCCCAGAGCCAGAGCATTTTGTAACTGCTTTTGTAACTGCAGGGGCTGAGAACAAAGCGAGCCTCTGTCAGCGCTGGCAGGGGCAGAAACGCCCTGCCTGTGCCCGTGTCCCGCCCGCAGCGAGCGGGGACGACTGCGCGCCGTTCTCATCCCGCCCCGCAGCACGGGGCCAGCGCTCGCAGAAGGGCTGTTACCGGTAACCCTCAGGGTTGCCAGCGCTCGCAGAAGGGCTGTTACCGGTAACCCTCAGGGTTGCCCCACGTCCTCTGCCTCTCGCCCTCTGCCAAGCCTTTAAACCACAGGCAGCGTGCAGACTGAAAAGACCTCGTGATCCATGAAAACCTGCTTTAAAGCAAGAATTGAACAGCCTCGGTTGTTAACTTCCATTTAAGCTGAAGCCTCCAGTTAAGCTGTATTTCCTTCTGGATTTGCTTGGAACCAAATGAGAGTGAAACAGGCAGGAGACAGAAGAGTCAGGACGGGAGCTGCTCTGTAGTAACTGAGTCCCGCTGCCGCTCCGTCTTTCCTTGACCTTTTTCATCCTTACTGGAGCTTACCTAAGAGTAAAATCGGTACAAGCAGCATCCAAAAGAAACTGCTCTAGTAAGCAATTGGTAGAAGGGGGGCAAATCACATTTAAATTCTGCCTAGAAGGTTAGGTGCAGAACTACCCGCACAGAGCTAGCACTGGGAACCGTGCTTAACGTTTTGGCTATGGAAAAGGGACCGAGCTTCGGTTACCGCCTCGGAATGGGAACGCCTCCTTCCAGAACTGTGCTGCAGGAAGGCTCCGAAGAGGAACACTGAACCTCGGGAAGTAAAAATGGTGCGTGATCAACAGGTTTTCAACAAGGCGGACAAAGAAAGACGACTGGGCAGCAAATACCAGTATGTAAAAACATTTCTTAGAGAGCGACGGGAGCCTACAGCCGCGAAAAGCAATCGGCAGAAGCAGCATCGCTCGTAGGGAGTAAACTGAAGCCTAACTGCGAATACGTAATAATCGAACGTTTAAGGAGATCTGCAAAGTCACTGTTATCACGTTTGTTTATTTAACAACTGCAAGGGTTTTATGATGTACATCAGTTTCACAAAAAAGTTAAAAGTTCTCTGTTTAGTGGTACACAAAAAAGCTTTAGAAACTTGAAGTCTAACAAGAAATGGAAGTGTAGTTCAGGAAAGTGCACTTAAAAGCTGAATGCCAGCAATTTCAAAACAGTTTTTACGCTCTTTAATATTAGGTGATGCCTTAGTCACAAATTTAGCTATACACACAATTTCCTTGGTTTTCCTTTCGAACTAAGCACTACAGAAAAGTAACGCAGCAGCCACCCTTTGCACGTTTTGTCTTTTGCAGCCTTGACTCATAGTCACTCCCTCAAGTCACACGCAAGTGATTGCGGCGGCTGTGTTACTAAAAACACAGCAACTCCAAGAGATACATGATGTGTGCGAGCACGTGTATATTTTATATATACTTTTCGTATATAAAAATACACAATATAGTATAAAAAAACTCCAGATAAACT